CTTGACTCACTCCCCCCGCTTCTCCCTCACCGCCTCTTCCTTCCATCAATCGGCAGGCAAAGCAGCGGGTGACAGGCAGCGGGCTGCAGAGGCTGCACACAGGGGCGTGGGACCCTCACAACGCAGACACCATTGCCACCACTGCTGATACCTCCATTGCCTGCTGGGATCTCAGAGCCGCCATGTGAGTAGCGTGTGTTCGCCTACTAAGACGCATTTAAACCACTCCCACCACTGCCAACACCATTGCCACCACGGCTGACACCTCCATTGCGTGCTGGGATCTGCGAGCTGCCATGTGAGTAGCGTGTGGTGAATGGTTCAAGACGTCCGAATGCTGTTGTCAACTCGCCACCACCCCACCATTGCCACCCCTGCAGACACCTCCGTTGCGTGCTGGGATCTGCGATCCACCATGTGAGTCACATGGTGAATTGTTCAGGTTGTCACAACCACCACTGCCAACACCATTGCCACCACTGTCAACACCATTGCCACCACTGTCAACACCATTGCCACCACTGTCAACACCATTGCCACCACGGCTGACACCGCAGATAAGGGACATAGACTTCAACCCCAGCCATCCGCACATGTGTGATATCAACATCTGTGCCCATCTCTCATTCCATCCCTCCCTCCATCCCTCATTTTTACAGCAAGACAGCCAGCATAGAGGGAGCGCTCCACCTGCAGATAAGGGACATAGACTTCAACCCCAGCCATCCGCACATATCAACATCTGTGCCCATCTCTCATTCCATCCCTCCCTCCATCCCTCATTTTTACAGCAAGACAGCCAGCATAGAGGGAGCGCACCACCTGCAGATAAGGGACATAGACTTCAACCCCAGCCATCCGCACATATCAACATCTGTGCCCATCTCTCATTCCATCCCTCCCTCCATCCCTCATTTTTACAGCAAGACAGCCAGCATAGAGGGAGCGCACCACCTGCAGATAAGGGACATAGACTTCAACCCCAACCACCCGCACATCCTCGCATCAGCGGGGGACGACTCGCGCATTCGCCTGTGGGACCTGCGCTCCACCAAGCAGGCTATTGTGGAGCTCCCCGGGCACTCCCACTGGTACGCACCACTCCCACTGGTACGCACCACTCCCACTGGTACGCACCACTCCCACTGGTACGCACCACGCGCACCAGTACGGGCCAATTTGCTGGCTTCCTTTCTGTTGTGTGACCTGTGTCGCCTTCTGTTGCTTCACAGTTTCCTTGTACAGCTTGCATTGCCTGCCCTGCACACCTCTGTGCGTCCTCACGTCCTATTGGCTCTCTATCATTGACTTCCCATGCGTGCCTACCTGCCTGTCTGCCATGATCCCTTCACAGGACTTGCAGCGTGCGCTACAACCGCTTCTACGATGAGCTTCTGCTGGTCAGTGCTCCTCCCTTATAAAGTGGCTCAATATAGTCTTCTCTCTTGCACCTGCTGGTCTGTTCCCCCCTCTCTTGCTCGTCTTGCTGCTTCCACCTTCCAACACCTTTTCTGATCCCGTTTCCCACCTTCACTGCACCTTCAATGCACCTTCACTCTCCCATTATCCACGTCCACCTACCCTTCTTCTCCTCCCTTCTCGCCTCCTTTTTCTGTGCACTCTCGCTATGCATTCCAACAGAGCAGCGGCACCGACTCGGCAGTCAACTTATGGCACGTTCCGTCTGCCTCGGCAGCAGCTGTGGCTGACCACCTGCGTGCCGGACCTAACCCAACAGGCTCGGGAAGAGGAGCGGCAGCAGGGGGGTATCCCAGGGGGGGCGTGGACGAGTTGGCAGTCAGTTTCACAGACTATGAAGACAGCGTTTATGGTGGGTGCAGTGTGGTTCTGTGAGGTATCAGGCGGTATGTTTTTCACAAGCAGCAGCGGCAGCAGCATGGGGATATCCCAGAGGGGGGGTCGTTTAGTTAGCAGTCAGCTTCACAGACTATAAGGTCAGCTTCGTCTTTTTCTTACAATATCTCAATAGTCGACCCAATATGCTACCCCCGTCCACCCCTCATCCGCCCTCCCACACCAGGCGTCACATGGGGCGCCATTGACCCATGGGTGTTCGCCTCCCTTGAAATGTCTCAATAGTTGACCCGACCCAGTATGCTCCCACCGTCCCCTCCTCACCCTCCTTCCGCCCCACCAGGCGTCACATGGAGTGCCATTGACCCATGGGTGTTCGCCTCTCTCTCCTATGATGGCCGCGTGAGTCCTACCCCACCCCCCCCTCAACCAAACTCCCTGTTTTCTTTCAAATTCTACCACCCTACTTCTAGTAGCTAGTCAAGCTTCTACACTCAGTTGAGCTCCTCGACTTCATTGCTGCTTCGTACAGCTCCATATGCTACACAACTGTTCGCTTGACATTTGTTTGTCACCTGTGGTTGTATTGAGATTCCAACCACCAGATTCCCCCCCTTTACCGTATGATGGCATTGGCAGGTGGTTGTGGACCTTGTTCCCACTGTCGTTCGCAGCAAATGCCGCCACTGATACCGTCACTGGTACCGTACATGGTAATACCGTACACGACTTTTGAGGCGCCTCAAAAGCCAGGTGGTGGTGGACCTTGTTCCCACTATCGTTCGCAGCAAATGCCGCCATTAATGCTGCCATGGCCAACTGGGCGACTGGCACTGCACTGGTACAGTGCCACTGTCAATGCTGGAATGCCGCTGTCTGAGGTGGAGCTGCTGCTGCTACATACAATACATACTTTATGCACTTCTATTCCTCAGTGGTTCAGTCTGTGATCACACGTTCATGTGGATTCTGAACACAATCTGCAACATGTGCTAGCCCAGATACCAGTACTGTCTGTACAGCTGTGTAGCAAGTAGCCTTTCTTATAATGAGGTGAACTGATACAACAATGTGGAAAGACGATGCCTCGGTGCATCTCCCTTCTGTCTGTAACTAAAGGACTCTAAAGGACTCGCATCAATAAGATCATTCTCCACAACCCTTGCAGTGCCTGCAAAGGTAAAACAAGACAAGGCAAGTGTTGTTTGGTGAGTGAATAGCCCAAAAGGACCAGATATGGAAAGGACGAACAGACAATCAACGGTCATCAACACTGCAAATGGACGACTCACCATTTCGCTGAAGGAGAAAGTTAATCTAATCGATCTAACCGGCGTGGTAAGGCAGACCTAAGATTGGGAATAGGACTCACCACGATCAATGCGCCGTTTGTTGCTGCTGTGCACGTCAGGGATGTCAGCAGCGGTGGTGCTGCTTCTCCTGCTCGTTGTACCACTGCACGTACCTGCATTCACGCAGCAGAGTGACGAGTGACGTAAAATGAATTGGGGGTGCGTTAAAGGGACTAGGGGTGCGTTGAACTGGACTAGAAACAATATACAATGGATTAATCGTGAGATATAATGGACGGGGGTGGGAGCAAAAAGGGCGTGTAGCGGAAGGATAAAAAAAGTGGGGGATGGGGCAAAACGGGCACAGGAGAAAACAAGAGCAAGATGGAAGAGAAGGTCAAGGATTCATAGGGCGGGGACGACGGAAGCGAAAGGCGTTGGGGATCTAGAGAAGCGACAAGGACCCCGAAAGGGCTCCGATCGTGGAACGGAGGAGAGAGCGACATCGGGAAGGAATAAGCGGAAGGAACAAGCGACGTAACTTCTGATCGCGAAGAGCATAAGTAGAAGCACGGCCGCTGATAGGAAAGGAACCAAAGGTGGTGGCGATCGCATCGACGAACTCGCACTCGAAAGTGGTTATAGAGGAGGTTTTTTAGTCGACGAAAGTGCGATATAATATCGCATACCAGTAGGTCCCCGCGATGGGTCCGACGCACGTGGCGGCGTCGAGCCAGTTGTTCTTGATCTTCTTGACCCACTCCTTGCCCATGTCCTTCCACAGCCTTTTGACGCGCCTCAAAACATGCGATCTAATGCCGCGTACCAGTAAGTGCCAGCGATGGGTCCGACGCAGGTAGCAACGTCGAGCCAGTTGTTCTTGATCTTCTTGACCCACTCCTTGCCCATGTCCTTCCACAACCCCGGCATGATCTGCTGCTCGAACGGCGACAGCGCGTACGTCACCTCCTTGAGACGCACCGGAACCCTCCCCATGGCTGCGGCGGCTCTGAACGGCTTCGCGTCGCGAACTAGGCGAGGATCTGACCAAATGACGACGGACCTACGGACAGAAGTAACACGCGGCTGTGGAGTGGAGCAGACAGACGGAAAGTATGCCGAAAAGGTGGAAAATAAACAGGGAGTTCTCAATCTGCTTGACCGTAACAATGATTCGTAATCTAAGCAATGCAGTTAAAATAAAATTGTATCAATGTGGTCGTGGGTTAGCTTATAACAGGAACACCTCCTTGATCGCCCTCATTGGCCACCTTCCGTGGCCAGCGCCTGGGAAAATCGTTGGGTGTCGCGCAAAGTGTGGGGTGGGGGTGTGTGGGGGAAATGGGGTTGAATGACGCAGATTTTCCGCCACCTTTCCCACTGCAGCAGAACAGACCCGCTCGCCGGCCATTTGCGCTCCACCAACCAGGGAGCGAGTCCCATCCCATCCCATCACACGCGCGGACCCACCTCGCCCACCTACCAGCTAGCGCGCGCCACAAACCCGACTGCCTTGAGATATCCTTTCCGCCTGAACCCCAATTGCCGCATCTTTCCTTACCACCTGCGCCTCATCTGCGCCTGCAAATCCGCCCGCCCGCCACCCTCCAATCCACTCTTGTGCTCCTCATTTCACCAGTTCTCCGATTCTTCACATCAGTTCAGTTCAGGCATTGTTGGGCCGCATTTCTCGCATCTCTGAGCAGCAGTCAAGTTCTCGTGTTGTTCCTCGCGTCTGGTCCGAGCGCTTCGACTGGTCGCCTCGCCAGACCAGTTTCTCGTGAAAAGGCGGCCGCCGATTGTTAAACTTACCGCTTGAAGAAATCCAGCTGCTTTTGACTGTAGATGCCTGCATTGCTCGGTTTCCTGACATGATCACGTGATTCCCAATCAATGGCGTCCACTGCTCCGGCCAGCGCCACTCGCGGGCGACGCAACGCCAAAGCGGACGGGTTCCAGTGGGACAACCCCGGCGAAGAGCCAGTCTCCCCGAGCTCCCCTTCTCGCCGCCCTTCGTTCCTCCGCCTTTCCACCACCTCAACGATCCTCCTGCTCTCCGCGATCTTCGTCGCCGCTCTCCTATTCGTCGGCTTCCGTAATTTCCGCGTCGAGGCTCCCGCGCCGCGCTCCAGCGCGTCTTTAGGCTCATTAGACGGCGATTACGGTACCGGCGACGATGACAGTTACGGCACAGCCAACGCGGCAGGTTCCACGTGGCCGACCGGCAGCAAGTCGTCAAAACTGACGGCCACCGGAACGGGAGTTTCAGGCTCGTTCGGTTCGACCGGCTTGACGGAAAACGTCGGAAAAAAGACGTCTTGGGACGAAATGTCGGAGGATGAGGATGACCTAGGAACCACCACGGGCTCTAGCTGGCCGAGCAAGCGTAGCTCCGCAATCGGCGGCGGGTTTGGCGGCGGACTTGGCGCTTCTTCGAGTTGGAAGAAGGGTGTCGCCGGCAGGGGGGGCAGCGGGAACTCGTGGGGTGGCGGCGGCGCGGATGCGATGGATGATGACGTGGACGCGTTCTCGAGCAGCGCGAAAAGCGCGGGAAGGTTCGGCGGTGGCGCGATGGGCGATTTGGGTATGGGCGATGATGATGACGATGGGGGAGCGTTGTATCCCAAGGAGAAAGGCAGAGGGAGACCAGGAGACCGGGAGACCGGGAGGGGTATGGAGCTCGAAGGGTATTCTAAAAGCACTGCTGCTGGTTACGCGAAAGGCGCGGCGGGATATGGTATAGGGACGGCGGGGTATGCTAAGAGCGGACGAGGCGGAGTCGCTTCGACGCGGAAAAGCGGCCGTGGTGATGATGACGATGACGTGGATGAGGAGGAGGATGACGTGGACGAGGAGGATACTAGGAGCAGCAGAAAGAAGGGGAGGAAGGGGAAGAAGGCGAAGAGGAGTAAGAAGAAGATTGGGAAAAAGACGAAAACGAGGGGAAAGACGAAGAAGACAACCAAGCGCAAATCACGCAAATACGGCAAAAAGAGCGGCGCAAAAAGCGGCGGCAAAAGCGGCGATTCGGACTGGGAAGACGAGGAGAGGTCGTTCGGTCCTTTGGGAAAATGGGGACGGAAGAAGAAGAGCCGACGGAGCAAGGTAGCAGAGGAAGAGGAGGAAACTGACGGGGAAAACGACGATGATGACAGGGGCAGCAGCAGCAGCAGATATGGCAGTTCCGGTGGTTCTGGTTACTCCAAGAAGCGATCCCGGGGAGCAGGGGGCTATGGGGACGCGGATACCGCCTCGTACAGACAGGGCGCGGACCGCATGGGCGGAGGCCGCGGGGAGCGCGGGGAGAGCGGAGGGCGCGGGGGGCGGGGGGGGCGCGGGCTTGACAAGGGGGGAGATGACCCGCTGGACCAGGCTTGGGATGACCTGGGGGGTGGACGGGGGGGGCGGGGAGGGCGCGGGTTTGGCCGGGGAGAAGACGACGCGGAGGCGGAGATGGGGGGAGGCGGAGGCGTGGGCGCTCGGCAGCAGCGGCAGGCGGGCGGACGAGGGGGGTACGGCGGAAGAGCAGGACAGAGGGGTGCTGACGTGGATGATTATGGCGACGGCGGGAGGAGCACAAGTGGGTGAGTGTGAATGAGTGAATGGTGGGGGTGCCGGCGTTTCTACTAGAAAGGGGCTTGGGATGTTGTGTGCTGATGGTTTGACTGGTTCTTAGTTTGGAATGTGATGTTTCCGTGGTTTGGGTTGCCATGGGGAGCGTGACACAACCGAAAGCAAACCTGCTGAGAAGGCAAAGAGAGGAAGTATAGAAGGCAAAGAGAAGGAAAAGGCATGACGAAAATGCTCAGGCAGGAATAGCCTGTGAGCTTCTGTAGGTTCTCTGACATGAATGGCTGTGTCTCGGACATGAATGGCTGTGTCTCTGACATGAATGGCTGTGTCTCTGACATGAATGGCTGTGTCTCTGACATGAATGGCTGTGTCTCTGACATGAATGGCTGTGTCTTTGACAAGTAGACTTCATATTTTTCTTCTCCTGTTTGCCTCCTCCCTTCCAGCAGCAAGTGGGCGCGAGGGGGGGGCGCGGACAGTGACGCGGAGGACACGTGGCAAAGCGGAGGCAGGGGCGGGGGAAGGGGAGGGTGGGCGGGGGGAGCGGCGCAGCAGCAGCAGCAGCAGCCGCGGGGGATGGGGTGGGGAGGGGCAGATGCGGGGAGCAACAGACTAGGAGGCAATGGGGGTGGGGGAGGGATGGGCAGGATGGGAGGGGGAGCTGGGGGAGGGAGAGGAACAGGTGGGATGACTGGGGTGAATGACAATGACGAGGATGCTTATGGCGGAGCAGGGGGGGGATCAGCGGGGGGAGTAGCAGGGGGAGCAGCAGGGGGAGGCAGGTCATTTGGGGGAGGCGTGGGGGGAGGTGCCGCTGCGTTTGGGGGAAGAGGCCGGAGCAACGCTGGTGGCTTTGCAGGGGGGAGTCAGGGGGTCGCAAGGGGAGGGAGGGGAGGTATGGGAGGTGGGCTTGGAGGGGGGTTGGGGGAAGGGGCGGATTTAGACGGTGAGGATGACATGGGTATGGGTACTGGCGCTGCTGCTGGTGGTCGTGCAGGCGCCACTATGAGTACGATGGGCGCTATGGGCGCAGGGGGAGGAGTAGGCGCAGGGGGACTTCCTGCTAGGGGGAGAAGCAGGCTGGGGGCCACGAGCGCTGGATTTGGCGGAATGGGGGGCGTGGGGGGAGCGGGTAGGATGGGAGGTAGTGCCTCTGCTGCTGCTGGTTCTGGCTTCGGTTCAGGCATGGGTGCTGGGATGGTGGGAGGGGCTGAAACGGATGAGGACTATGGACAGAGCGGTGGTGGTGGGTTGGGAGGAGTGGCAAGGGGAACCGCAGGGGCAGCAGGGGCAGCAGGAGCAACCAGAGGGGCATTCCGGGGTGCTGCAGGGGCAGCAACGTCAGGGCGAATGGTTGGTGGGGGAATGGGTGCAACAGGGATGGGAGCAGGGGGGTTGGGTGGGGAAGATGAGATGGGTGGGGCGGATGAGGGGATGGGTATGGTAGGCAGTGGTGTTGCTGGGAGGGGCGGGGTGAGGGGCGGGATGGCCGGTGGAGTTGGTGGTATGGCTGGCCGTCTGGGAGGCAGGTCTGGGAGCCTCTGGCAGCAGCAGCAGACGCAGGTGCAGCAGAGGGGGCAGGCAGGAGGAGTGGGAGCAGGCGGGATGTTTGGAGCGAGAGCAGGTCAGCAGCAGGAAGGCCTGGGTCTGGATGGGGATAATGACTACCCTGCTGGCGCTGCTGCTGGTGCTGCTGCTGCTGCTGCTGCTGCTGGTGGTGGTGTTGCGGGCACTGGTGGCTTTGGTGGCGCTGGTCGTGTTGCTGGTGCTGCTGCTGCTGCTGCCACAGATGATTACAACGAAGGGGTAGCAGCTGATTCCGGCACTGGCTTGAGCGGCACCACCAGCAGCAGCAGTGGCGCGAGTGGGCTGTTTGGGGCGAAAAGCAGAGCCGGAAGCAGCAGCTTTGGCAGCGCCAGCAGCAGCTTCAGCAAGCGAGGCGGTGTGGCGGCAGCAGATCCTTACGGGGACGAAGGGGAAGGCACGGGCGGTAAGGCAGGAGACGCTTCAGGCATGGACGGTGGGGGTGGCACGGATGGTATGGACGGTTCAGATGACCTGGATGGGGGAGTGTCCGGTGGTGGTGCAGGAGGGAGGAGGCAGGGTGGGCGTGCAGGGCTGGGCAGGGGCGATGCAGAGAGTGGGGGGTTGGGGGAGGAGGAGGATGAGGATGGAGGAGTGGGGTCTGGAAAGGCCGTGGTTGGATCCAAGACAGGGAAGGGCGAGGGAGGGGATAGCTCCTCCTCTTCTTCTTCCTCTGGTGGTGGTGGTCTGTTTGGTTTTGTCTCTCGCATGTTCGGTGGTGGTGGGAGCACTAAAGCGTCTGGAAAGGCGGCAGGGGAAGGGGGAGGGGAGGGGGAGGAGGTGGAGGGGTTTGAGGCGGGGAAGAGCACGGCACAGTCAGCAGTGGAAGATGCACTGAGGAGCACTGAAGAGGAGGGGGTGACTGGGGGAGGCTTTTCCAGGAGCAGGTTCGGCAGCAGCAGCAGCAGCAGCAACGGAGGGGAGGGTGGGGAGGATGACTATGGGTCATCGTCTGCTGCTACTGCTGCTGGCAATACTGATGCTGATGCTGGTGATGACGCTGATGCGGATGCGGATGTTGCAGTGGGGACAGCAGAAGGTTTCAACAAGGCCCGGTTTGTCCGGGGTGCTGCTGGTGCTGCTGGTGGTGGTTCTGGTGCAGCCGGCAAGGGCGGCATGGGGGAGAAGGATGAGGATTCAGAAGCTGCTACCGCGCTTGGTGGTGTCGCAACTGGAGCTAGCGGTGGTGATGCCTCAGAGTCCTCTGATGCTTCTGACGTGGACGAATCTGATTCGTCAGCTGCGACTTCTGGGTTTGGTGCTGCTGGTGCTTTTGGGGGGTCAGGAGCAGGGAAGGCCGGGCGGTTGAGTGGGGGATTCAGTGGGAGGTTGAGCGGTGCGAGTGGTGTGACAGGAAAGACTGGCAGGCTCAATGCGAGAGGAACGGGAGGGAAGACAAGTACATTTGGATTTGGCGCATCGGGGTTAGAAGGGTCGGAATCAGCCGCTGGGGGGGGTGGTGGCGGTGGTGATATGGGACTGGGAGGGGAGGGTGGCGATGAGGATGGGACTGGAGAAGGGATGACGACCATCCGGGCTACTAAGAATGCCTTTTTGGGTAAAAGGCGGGCGAATGTGGGTAGTGGTACGAGCTTGGGGGCAACGCAGGGTGTGGGGCTTGGAGGAGCGAGTCGGGTTGGTCGGGCAAGGAAGACGAGATTGGGAGGGATGGCATCACTGGGAAGAGCACAGGTGAAGGCCCAAGAAGATGATGATGACGAGCTGTCGCTTTGAGACAATGGACGAAAATTGCCATATCTGATTCTAAAGTGGATGGGTTGGTTGGGACAGTAGTGGTGCAGTTTATGCTCGCTGCCATGTGCCTTATGTGTTGAAGTACTATTTAATGCTATAGCTATGTGTTTGGCAATCCTTATAGAGATAAGGTGATATTTTTGAATACACTAGCTGTTTCGCTTACCACTATTGGGAGCTCCGCGCAAGGCTTGAGTTCTCCAGGAGTCAGGTGGGCGGTTCCGCGGTTTCCCCGTTTGCGCGTCTGTCACTTTCCGCTTCCCCCTCCCCTCTCCGCTACTTCCTCCCGCCACACGTTTAGGGTTGCATGAGCGTGGTAGTGAACTCATTCCTGCCAGCTCCGCTGCGTTTCCTGCAGCCGCGTTAGGGCGTCAGGGCGTCTACGGGCTGCTGTTTTTGCGCTGCCTTCCCGTCGCGCCGCACTCTCTATTCAGCGTGGCTTCTCCTCCTTTCCGCTTCTTCCTAACGGTTTTTACCACCCACGCGCCGATCAACCGTAAGATTCCATTCCGTGTGGATTCCGAACGTCCGTAACCATGTATCGCGTCGCCAAGGCATCATCAGCGCGCCGTGCGTCGCAGATCCTCTCCCGCTCCTTCACTCACTCCCCCCGATCCGCCACGTCGACCGCTCATTCCGCGCCATTCCTCCGCCTTTCCGCCAATGACTCCCCCGCCACTCCGCTTTCGCTCCTCCGCACGATCACCTCCGCCGCGTCGCTGCTGAAACCCGCGCCTTCTCCCACCGCGTCCGCCGGCGCCCCCGCGGCCGCTGCGCAGACGGCGGCGGAACCCGCTGCTCCGCCGCCTCCCCCGCCGGATCACATCGAAGTGTTCGTCGATGGGAAGGGCCTGCACGTTCCCAAGGGCTCGACGGTCCTGCAGGTCAGACTTATGTTCATTAGAAGTTTCCTTCGAGTCGCATTTATCTCCTTTGCTTCCTCGTCCTCGCTCCCTCTCTCCCTCGTTCATTCGCTCTCTCGTTCCCCCGTTCACATCGAAGTGTTCGCGGATGGGAAGGGGTTGCACGTTACGAAGGGTCCGACCGTGCTGCAGGTGAGCGTTGCGTGCGAGTGAGGTAGTGAGTTGAGAGTAAAGTCGTGGAATTGACAGGTTTCTTGTCAGATGTATCTCCCTCGCTCTCTCCGTCCATGGTTCCCCTACCGTTGGATCGGTGCTCATCCGCCGCTGGTACCTCCAGATCGTTGATTCCATGCATCACATTCAAGCCTTCATTTTTGTTTCCTTCCGTTTTGAATCTCAAGCATTTCCCCATATTTAAGAATCTGAACTTGTCCGCGAGCCGCCGTCCCTACAGGCTTGGGATGCAGCCGCCATCGACTTCCCGCGCTTCTGCTGCTACCACCCTCGCATACCCATCAGTTTCCCCTTCTTCCACAAGTGTTTCCCCCCCTCCTCCCATGTTTCCCCCCTTCCCCGCTTCCCCACCCTCCCCACCGCTTCTCCCCACCCTTACTACGTCCCGCTTTCCCACCCGCCGCCGTCCCCCTTCCCCCATTGCGCCAGGCATGCGACGCGGCGGGGATCGACATTCCGCGCTTCTGCTACCACCCGCGGCTGTCCATCGCGGGCAACTGCCGCATGTGTCTCGTCGAGATCGAGAAGGCGCCCAAGCCCGTCGCGTCCTGCGCCATGCCCACCATGCCCGGCATGAAAATCAAAACCACCACTCCGCTCGTCAAAAAGGCGCGCGAGGGAGTCATGGAGTTTCTCCTCCTTAACCACCCGCTCGACTGCCCGATCTGCGATCAAGGCGGCGAGTGCGACCTGCAGGATCAGTCCATGGAGTTTGGGAGCGATCGGGGTCGGTTCTACGGGTTTAAGAGGAGTGTAGAGGATAAGAACTTCGGTCCGCTCGTGAAAACGGTCATGACGCGTTGCATCCACTGCACGCGCTGCGTGCGATTCGCGAAGGAGGTCGCGGGGGTGGAGGACCTTGGGATGACCGGGCGCGGGCGCGACTCGGAGATCGGAACCTACGTGGAACGCATGCTCACGAGCGAACTTTCCGGGAACGTGATCGACCTGTGCCCCGTCGGCGCGCTCACGTCGAAGCCGTTCGCGTTCACGGCGCGGTCGTGGGAACTGAAGGGGACGGAATCCGTCGACGTGTCAGACGCGATCGGCGCCGCTATCCGCGTGGATAGCCGCGGCGGGGAGGTGATGCGAATCCTTCCGCGCCTGAACGAGGGGGTGAACGAAGAGTGGCTGACGGATAAGGGGAGGTTCGCGTACGATGGGTTGAAGCGCCAGCGCCTCTTTGCCCCCATGGTTCGCAGCGCGATTACCGGCCAATTAGAGGTCGCCAGCTGGCCCGAGGCGCTGGAAGCGGCGGCGAAGGCGCTAGTGGGAGTTAAGGGGGAGGAGGTGCAGGCGGTGGCGGGGCGGCTCGCGGACGCCGAGGCGCTAATCGCTCTTAAAGACCTAATGAACCGGCTCGGGTGTGATAATCTCCGCCCGGACGACGGGGATTGGGTGGCGGGAGGCGCGGCGAACGCGGATCTGCGGTCGTCCTACGTGGCAAACACGGGATTGGCCGGCTTGGAGGACGCTGACGTGGTGCTGCTGATTGGGACGGACCCGCGCAGCGAAGCGCCGCTCCTGAATCTCCGCCTGAGAAAGGCCGTGATTGGCCGACGTGCGAAAGTAGCCAGCATAGGCCCTCCCCTAGATCTCACCTTCCCCAGTGAGGGGCTAGGGGAGGGGGCGGACGTGCTAGTGCGGGTGGCGGAGGGGAAGCATCCGTTCTGCGGGGTGCTGGCGGGGGCGAAGCAGCCGGCGGTGGTGGTGGGCGCGGGGGTGATGAGGCGCGCCGATAGGGAGGCTGTTATGGCTGCCGTGCAGACGATTGTAGCGAATGTGAGTGTAACGAGGGGTGGCTGTGGGGGATGGGAGTAACGCGAGGTGACTGTGGGGGATGTGGGTGTCAGGAGAATGGGAGGAGAGAGTGATGGAAAGAGGGGATGGGGATGCATGGGGGGAATGGCAGGGTGCATGGAGGGATGCTGTGCTGTTACCCGTCTCTCTGTGTGCCCTCATCCATCCCCTCGCCTCTCTCCCCATGCCCTCCAGTTTAAAGACTTCTCCATTTTAGAGACTCCTTTTCTTTCTTCCTGCGTAATACCTAGCCCCCCTGCGCCCTCCCCGTTGCGCCCTCCCCTCTGCGCCCTCTCCTCTGCGCCCTCTCCTCCGCCCATTTCCCTCATATGTCGTCCCTGCTTGCACATGTTTTTTTCATGTTTGAGCAAGCAGGCGGGGGTGGTGAGGGAGGGGTGGAACGGATACAACGTGCTGCACCTCTCTGCCGGCCGTGTGGCCTCTCTGGACGTCGGCTTCGTGCCCGGGCCTCAAGCTGCCCTCTCCCGGTGCGTAACCCTGTGTGTGTGTGTGTGTGCCCGGCCCTCACTCTTCCCCCTCCCAGTGAGGGCTTTGCTGACTCTGGGAGGGGGGAGCGTGATGCCACGCTCTGCTCGCTCTGCTTCGCCTTGGAGAGCAGAGCGTGAGGGCTTTGCCTGACTCTGATGATGCCACGCTCTCCGCTCCTCTCCGATGCGATTTTTGAAGCGCCTTTACAATCGTCTCCATATTTCAAGAAACGAAAGGTTGTCCGCGTCGTGTCTGACTCTGATAATGCCACGCTCTCCCATGCTCTCCCACGCTCTCTGCTCTTTCCCCCCCCTCCCCCCAGCACGCCTCCCAAGGTGGTGTATTTGTTGGGAGCGGACGATGTGACAGAGGCGGACCTGGTCTGCTTCCCACCCCTTCCGCCCGTCTCCCCCCCTTCCGTCCCCCATCCACCCCACCTCCCATCTCCCCCATCCACCCTACCTCCCATCTCCCCCATCCACCCCACTTCCCATCTTTCCCATCCACCCCCCACCCGCCCCTCCTTCCCCAAACCCCCAGCACGCCGCCCAAGGTGGTGTATCTGCTGGGAGCAGACGACGTGGCAGAGGCAGACATGCCAGCAGGCGCGTGTGTGATCTACCAGGGCCACCACAAGGACCGCGGGGCAGTCAGTCCTGATTCATTTCTTTCCCTCCTCCCCCTTGTCTCTGCCCTTTTTCTCCCCTTCCCCACCACAGCACGCCCCCCAAGGTGGTGTATCTGCTGGGAGCAGACGACGTGGCAGAGGCAGTCACATCCCTGACGTGTTTCCCCTCCTCCCATCCCATCTCCCCCCGCGTTTCCCCACCGGTCCTCCCCCCCCCCATCCCCCATGCAGCACGCCTCCCAAGGTGGTGTATCTGCTGGGAGCGGACGACTTGGCAGAGGCGGACATCCCAGCAGGCGCGGTTGTGATATACCAGGGCCACCACGGGGACCGCGGGGCCAGCCGGGCTGATATTGTGCTGCCGGGGGCTGCCTACACTGAGAAGGTGAGAGTGTCAAGGGGGGGGGGGGGGACGGGGCGTAAGTGCTGAGATGGATTAGAGTTAGTGCACGTCTAGTTCGGGCACTGCGCACTGCACGCCGAGTGTGTTTTTTGAGTTGACAGAGGCGGTGTGGTAGAGGCGGCCATCCCTACAGACCTTCTGTTGCTTTCCTGCTCTCCTCTCACCTGTTCTTTGCAACGTGTGCATCCCTGCTCCCCACAGACCTTTCTCTCATTCTCTGCTCCTCTCCTGCTCTTCTCTTTCTTATTGGTAATCCGCACCCTACCCCCTTCCCCCCTGACAGGAAGCCACGTATGTGAACACAGAGGGGCGGGTGCAGATGACGCGGGCAGCGGTTCCGACAGTGGGGAGTGCGAGGCAGAGGGTGCTCATGCCCTTGCTCTCCTTCTCTCTCTTCTTCTCTGTAATCCACGCCCTTCCTCCTCCCCCCCGTCCCCCCAACAGGAAGCCACGTATGTGAACACGGAGGGGCGGGTGCAGATGACACGGGCAGCGGTAGCGACAGTGGGGAGTGCGAGGGACGACTGGAAGATCATTCGGGCCGTCTCTGAAGTGGCTGGCGTGCCTCTGCCCTATGACACTGTGGAGCAAGTCAGAGAGCGGCTGCGAGAGGTACGAGGGAGAGGAGGTACGAGGGAGAGGAGGTACGAGGGAGAGTAGGTACGAGGGAGAGGAGGTATTACTACGAGGCAGTGTGACGAGGTAGGGAGGCGCAAAGAAGTGAGGTGTGCGGCTGTTCTTGAAGTGGCAGGCGTGGCGTTGCCATATGATACCGTGGAGCAGATGACGTTTTTTGAGACGTCTCAAAACTACGTTGCCATATGATACCGTGGAGCAGATGACTTTTGAGTCGACTCTAAAGGAGCAAGTCAGAGAGAGGCTGCGAGAGGTGAGGGGGTTTGGGAGGGAGGCGTTGTGACACGGTGGTATTACTGTGGGGTGTTGTGAAGAGGAAATAATACTTATGAGACGCCTCAAAAATCACCTTCTTTCAAGCTCACCGCTCACCGCTCAAGCACTCATTTCTTTCCTTTTCGCCGCTCACCACGCCCCACGCCCCTTCCCTCCCCCATCAGGTGGCCCACCACCTGGCGCGGATCGACGAGCTGGAGCCGCCTCTCACGCTCAACACTTGAGCACTCAAGCACCTCTCATTCTCCTTGTTCACCACTCCCCATGCCCACCCCTCTCAACTTCCCCATCAGGTGGCCCACCACCTGGCGCGGGTCGATGAGGTGGAGCCGCCTCTCACGCTCACGGCTCAAGCGCTCATTCCTTTCCTTCTCCCCACTCACCACGCCCCACGCCCCTTCCCTCCCCCATCAGGTGGCCCCTCATCTGGCGCGTATTGATGAGGTGGAGCCGCCTCTCACGCTCACGGCTCAAGCAGGGGTGCAGCACACGCCTGGTGCTGCTCTCCCGGACCCCTTTGAGCTGCCGGTGAGTTTGAGTGGTCTCTTAGGTGACAGACAGCTGGTGACGTCTTTAGTATTGACGTACTAGAGCCTCCCCTCTCACGCTCACCGTTCAAGCAGCACTGCAGCACACGCCTGGTGCTGCTCTCGCAGACCCCTTTGAGCTGCCGGTGGGTTTGTTCAAGTCGTCTCTCAAGTCGCTCCAATCCAACAAGGTAGAGGTCGTCTCCTTTTGCTATCGCCGCTCAAGCCGGGCTGCGCTGCATGCCTGGTACTGCACTCTGCTCAATTCTCTTATCCCTCTCAACCACTCTCAACCCCTCTCAACCCCTCTTATCACCCCCTGGCATCATTCGCTCCCAGGTGGCTAATTTCTACATGACAGATGCCATTTCACGAGCATCGGTGACCATGGCTAAGTGCACATCTGCCAAAGCCAAGCAGGCCGCACAGCCGTTGCACTGAAGCGAGCACAATTTCATGGACAAGCATTACAACAGGCATCATCACATCACTGTGTGCTTCAAGCTGTGCTCTAAATGCATGGACAGGCTTGGCATGAATGTGCCTTGACGATCATGGAAAGACATGCACGGAAATCACTGTGCTATGTGATGCGTTACATGTATGGTATATGGGTGTCGTCAGAGTATGTTGGTTGGTATGCGAAGTCTTGGTTCAGGGTTTAGGGCTTCTTTAGTTCTAGATCTAGCTACGCCATCCCGGATTTCTTTAGCTGCTGAAGGCAAAGCCACTATCTTACCCATGGGAATAGTTAAGCAGACTATAACCTAAAACTCGGTTGTGGCCACTTCCGAATTGTAGTAGTCGTTCGATTATCGAAACACTGGTGTGGTTCTGTAGGCACCTGACGGTTGGGGGAGGAGGAGGGAGGGAGAAGGGAAATGAGGAGGGTTCCGAGGTGGGTTCCGAGGTCGATTCCCCCCCCCCCTGGACAAACATGCGAGATGAGAAATTTCGGATTTTGGGGAGGTAGTTTCCGAGGGAAAATGACGACCTTCTCGCGGAATTTCTCTCGCCCAATGGAGGGGTAAATCGTGACCATCGAATGCAGGACCAGGGTAATTATTCGGGGCTGGGCGTTTTCAACATAAAAAACCCCAACATACAGGAGTGGTGCGCAGGCCGCCAGGGTTTTCACTTTGGTGGTTGGTGTGTGTCTTTATTTTTCGATTTGAGATTTGCAACCCTGTTTGGGCTAGTGGCTGTACAGGGAAGCTTGTTTCCTGGGTGGGAGGCTGGTGTTCCCACGCCCAGCTCCTCCCTCCCGTCACCGTCGCACTTCCCCGTGAAGGGTGGGCGGCCGATGGCGGGGCGGAGGCAAATAAATTTGCCCGAGGAGGAAGGTGGTGAGGGGAAAGAGGAACCTTCTTGGGGGTGCATTTCCCTGGAGGGAAATGACTGTTCTGTAGGCATCTCCCTTCGATAGGTTCGGAAGGGAAATGACCGCCATTTCGAACCTAAAATTGCAGAGGCAGGCAGCTTCCTATTTTCCCTCCCCTTCCCTCCGTGATGCCTGCAGAACGATACCACTGCATCACCGCCCATGTTTCAGCTCGCATGTCATGTCCACACGTTGGCCCTGTTCGGCAGGCGCAATTGTTTTTCGCACTTTTCGAGAATCCTCGCGAAATTGGGGGTTTCCATGTGCGCGGTCATCATGATTCATAAACTATTCTTCGCCAATGCTGACTGGACTTCTGAGTTCCATACGTACAGTACCGGTACCTTGCACCCTCGGCTTCGTCCAAAATATTTACAGTTGTACAACTCTGCTTGGCATACAGCTCTGACCCGGTTCATGCACACCAACCCTCATTTAGGGAGATACGTATTGCAGCGGACCAAAATCTCGTCAAATCGACACGGGCAAAACTATTATGCGGATGAGTGAAGAAGGGGCATTAGTTGTTAGTTTCAAGTGCACATGGTTGTATGAAGGCGAATATTGACGACGAGATGCTTTGCCACGGTTGATTACAATGCGGCCTTTATTTCGACAGCATATTTGCTGGCCCGTCGGACCGATGTCCGATGAGCTATTCCGGATATGCATTTGCTGTGCATTCATGTCAAAGTGGCACAGGTCCGTGAAATGCCGCGAACCTCAACACTTGTGATCATGCACCAGGTGAAAAAGATCGCCAGATCTGGACACTGTAACGCGATGGTTCGACTTATTTGGAGCTGCCCCTCCACTTCAACTGGTATAGTTGTGTCGTTTTGCACTTGGTAGAGGCCTTGGTTGCACGATCACCCGAGGCGAAGCTACAGACTCTGTACTGGCGACTTGGTCTGACTGGTGAAGACACAAGGACCAAACACGCAAGGGCAATCCCGCCCCAGCAGCCCACACTCCCAGTCAGCATTTCCAACAGCCAGAATCTCTTTTCGCGTCAGCCTTGCTGATGTGTACTTCTAACCAATGACGACCTTCTGTTACGCGGATTCTATACCCCAACATCATGTTGTTGAACCCGGCATGCGCCGCAGCCTCCCCGCCGCCTCCCCTTTCCCCCGCTTCTGTGTGGATCGCGTTCCCGAGTACTAGTACTACTAGTACTGGCTCTGCCAGAGGGAGAGCTGAGAGTTAGTATCAGCCTGATGTCTACTCAACATAAAAAACTTTGAAAGCTCTCTCCTGCTTGTCCACACGTTTGGTGACACCTGGAGCTGATACTAGGCAGTACTAGGTCAAAAGCGCCATATTGACGAGTGCTATTGTATGATACAATGTCGGCTCAGGCACTGAGGGTGGAGGAATCGGCTATCGATGCCCGCATGATGCAGGATATCGTTCGTGCCGACGGCTATATTTGGCTGAAATACGGTCAAAAGCATGTTTACAAGACCTACAAAACTCGGTAAGGCATGCTGTAAAAGTCGGCGGTGACTACTACTAAAAGTAGTGGTACTCGTACAGTTGTAGTTATGCTTGAGAGTAGCTTTCCCGGGCATTACTGCTTGTTTATGTCAGAACTTCACTGGAGTGGGATAACTTGACTCAAGTATTTTTCTTAGTGGCCAATAACTCCAATGCCGTCCTATTCACGTGTGGCAGGTGCTACTACAAGTGTTCGTGCTCCAGAAGCAAGCCACCCTGCACAGCTAAGAAGACCGTCGAGTACGACCGCCGGAGCAACTATTCCTTGTCTTCAATCCACATCAACTACGGCAAGCCCCACCACATCCACCCAGCCCCTCTCGAGAAACGCATCTGCGAGGAGGAACCGAGCCGTCCCACCAGCCTGACAATGCACCCTGTTGCTGACTCGGAGGCGCCTCAGAAACATGATGGTAATGCTCCTAGATCCGGGTACACACTCTCCCCTGCCGGAGCCCACTCCACCACCCCTGCACCGTTGGCTATGGGCGACGGCAGTGCTGCTTCTGGTGCTGTCATCGCCGACCCTGATCTTGCTTCCATCCCGCATTCAGTGCAACGTGAGGATGTTCCCGCAGTGGTCACTCCTCCTGCCACTGCAGCCATTTCCGCCAGCAGCACCGCACCTGTGGCTCCAGAGCAAGCAGCTGGTTCTTCTGCAGTTTCTAGTCAAAACTTGCAGCAGTGCGCAGTCCCAGCAAACAATGGGGATGTGGATGGTGTCTTGGAAACAGCTATCGATACTGGTTGCTCTTCAGAATCTGGCTCCAGCTTAGAAGACTCGCCTAATGACGAACCTCATGTTTCTATTCTTCTCCCCAGCATCAGATCTATCCTCCTTGGGAGACAGTCTATGCCAAAAAGTGAATTGGGTGACTGGAAGGACAGATTGCCCGATGGCACACGGTGTGCAAAAAGAGCGAGGCACACTGAAGTAGTATCAGGACCTCCACGCTTCAATCACAACCCAGCAGTTTTTGAAGGTGCTAGTACATGTGCGGAGCAGCTTCGATTTGGTTCCGAGTCGCATGGCGGTGCTGCCAATGACGCTTTTCCATTCCTGCCTTTGGAGGACTTCGACAGAGATGCTTCTGCTTTCATCTCTCCAAGTTTCGAAAACTGCGACGATTTGTTTTGGGAAGAGTATCAAACTTTGGATGGACCTACGGAGCTGCACAATCCAGTAGTTGACTCGCCAACGTCCGCATGTGATCATAGTGGGGATGATATACTGAGGGCGTTTTCTGATTGGCAGTGAAATTGCAAATACGTTGTAGAGATTATGTTGGTAAATGCTTAGTCTACCCTATGTATTGCGCTGGTATGTTCTGTTCATACAGTTTTTACCCTGTGCGTTGGATCTCGGTGTGGACTGTGGCTATTCTTTACCTCTGGAGCTAGGAAACCCTAATAAAACTGGTGACTACCAAAAAAATATGCACTCACATTGTGCCTTATGTCTAGCAAACTGCATTGTTTGCTTGGGCATGGTTTCATTTTCACACTAGACTACAGCTTCAATCTAAATACCGGCTGAAAGAGATCGCCAAGACAAACAACAAAACTTGGGATGGGGAAGAGTAGGGGGAGAATTCAGTGGGAACTGGAGTAGGAAGAACTGGCAAGAGAAACAGTCGGACTTGGGCTACGGGAAAGGAAGAAAAATCTGGGACTTGGAGTGGGAGTGTCAATTGTATCAGAGGTACCCTGGCCCCCCCCCCTCCCCTCTTCCTAACTCCCACATCTCGTTCTGATCCCAATCCTTCGGTTGTCCCAACCCCCCAGCGTCTTTCCCCGTCTGGTGTGTCACATGCCACCCCCCTTCCCTCGGTTGCACCTCCTCTCTCGTCTCCTTCACCACAGTCACCTGCGTCGTCTTCCCAGACGCCGCAGAAGCCTTTAGTGCCGCCGCAGATGGTCACGGTGGACTTTGCAAGTGCTGACACTAGAGGAGCTAGTTATGGGGGTGCGGACGCTGGAGTTGCTAGTTCTGGGGGTGGTGGCGCTGGAGGTGCTGGTTCTGGAGGTGCTGACGCTGGAGTTGCTGGTTCTGAGGGTGCTCGCACTGGAGTTGCTGGTTCTGAGGGTGCTGGCACTGGAGGTGCTGGTTCTCAGGGTGCTGGCACTGGAGGTGCTGGTTCTGGAGGTGCTGACACTGGAGGTGCTGGTTCTGGGGGTGCGGGCGCTGAAGGGTCTGCCCCCGTGGGCGCGACGTTCGGCAGCAACAGTAGCCAAAGCAGCAGCAGCAGCAACTGCAGCGGCAACAGCAGCACCAACAGCAAGAACGGGTCTTCCTTTCCATCGTTCTCTCACTGTCCCTCACTCTCTCTTACTGTCTCCGTACTGCTCGCCCTATCGCCTCCCGTTTCATCTCCTCTCTCGTGATTGGCCCTACTTCTTTTCCTTCGTCCGTCTCGGCTCTTGTTGCTACTGACACTGACTTTGCCTCCACCCCCTGCCTTGACTACGCCACCCAGTTGGTGTCAGCTCCTACTGCCTCTCCTCAGCCTGTCGGGGGGAGGTCCTACCCTTGGTTGTGATGACAGGCAGTTCGAGCTGG